GCTACTACTGCTACTACTACTACTGCTACTACTACTACTGCTACTGCTACTACTGCTACTACTGCTACTACTGCTACTACTACTACTACTACTGCTACTACTACTACTACTACTGCTACTACTACTACTACTACTACTACTACTACTACTACTACTGCTACTGCTACTACTACTACTGCTACTTCTACTACTACTACTGCTGGTACTACTACTACTACTTCTACTGCTACTATTACTACTACTACTACTACTACTACTACTACTACTACTACTACTACTACTACTGCTACTACTGCTACTACTACCGCTACTACTGCTACTACTACTACTCTTACTACTACTGGAACTACTGCTACTGGAACTTCTATATGACTACTGGAACTACTGCTACTACTGCTGCTACTACTGCTACTGGAACTACTACTACTGCTGCTACTACTACTACTAACTAGTACTACTACTACTACTACTACTACTACTGCTGCTGCTGCTGCTGATGCTACTGCTACTACCACTACTACTACTACTCTTACTACTATAACTACTACTGGAACTACTACTACTGCTGCTGCTGTCCTTCAAATACTACTACTTCTACTGCTGCTACTACTACTACTACTACTACTACTACTACTACTACTACTACTCCTGCAGATCTCTTTAAAACTGTATTATGTGTTGTGTCTAGTACTTGGTTCTTTTTGTGTGTTTTCATAGAGTTTATAATAGGTTTAATGCCATACTGTGGAACATCCAGATAAAACAAGAACATCTCCATGGAGACAAGCAGGCAGCCTATACTCTCCACCAGAAAAGTTCCATATGGCATCTTTAAACGACACCTCTCCAGGTGTGCTCGTCTTACCTTTGACTGCTTTTTACAAAGACACTCAGATGAGTCTAATCTGTCCATCTTGTGTCTTGTGTAAGTGTTTTTCTGCCTCCAGGAGACACATACTTGTATGCAGCTACTGCCTCCCAGTACACAGAGTACACAGAGTACTGCACTATGCTGTTGGGGCACATACTCAAAGGCGTTGGCTCAGGCGTTGGATACATCTGAAGATCTGAAGTGACAGAGACGGAGAACCAAATGTTCTGCTGCTGCTCAGGAAAAATAAACTCGAGTGAACTGAGCACCTCCTGATCTCACACAAAACTGAACCAGGACTAAACCAGGACTGAACCAGGACTGAACCAGGACTAAACCAAGATTAAACCAGGACTAAACCAGGACTGAACCAGGACTAAACCAGGACTAAACCAGGACTGAACCAGGACTAAACCAGGACTGAACCAGGACTAAACCAGGACTAAACCAAGATTAAACCAGGACTAAACCAGGACTAAACCAGGACTGAACCAGGACTAAACCAGGACTGAACCAGGACTAAACCAGGACTAAACTAGGTCTAAACCAGGACTGAACCAGGACTAAACCAGGTCTAAACCAGGACAAAACCAGGAAAAAAATAGGACAAAACCAGGACTAAACCAAGATTAAACCAGGACCGGACTAAACCAGGACTGAACCAGGGCCAAATCAGGACTGAACCAGGACTGAAAAAGGTCTAAACCAGGACTAAATCGGGATTCAACTAAACCAAAATCTGGTCTAAACCAGGACCAGGACCAAACCAAGTCTAAAGCACATCTGAAGACCTGACCCTGCAGAGATGTGGGTTTGAAGCCTGTGAGGGGGCTGGTGGTTCTGCTGCTGCGGTGTGTGTCTGTGTATTTTACACAGATGTGAGGACAGACTGATGTGAAGTTTGACCACAAAAACATCTGCTCCTGTGTGAGAGAGAGAGAAGAGAGGAGAGAGAAGGAGGGAGGAGAGCGAGGGAGAGTGATAAAGAGAGCAACAGAAAAACAGAAAGAGAGAGAGAGAAAAGAGAAGAAGAGATGGAGAAAAGGGTGAGGCGTGGGAACAGGGGACTGTGCTCGTGCTCAAATGAAAGGGTGCACAGAAGCTCTGGGGTCACGTGACGTCATATTTCAGAAATGCCACATGTTTAAACTAACCCACAGTTCTATGGAAGACGGTAAAGCTGTAATCAGGAACATTACATCATATTCTACATTTACGAGAAAAAGCTGCGTTGTGCAACTTTTCTGGTGGAGGGTCTGTCAAACGCTTTTCTCCATGGACATGTTCTTGCTTTGGAACACTGTGGAAATGTTCACAGTATGACATTAAACCTTTCTATCTTCATGGACACCAAACCAGAGCAAGTTACAGGTCAGATCTATGGAGAGGCGACACAGTCAGAATGTTAGTTTTTCTCTGTATTTTTGAGCAATAAAACCACCTGTAATAGAATACATGTAAAGTGGAGCTGTTTAATGTCACAGTGTGGAACATTCCAGGCAGAGCAATGACATGTACAGAAGAAACAAGAAGGTGATGGGCCCTCAACCAGAAAGTTACACACCTTATCAAGAAAAAACAAAAAAAATCAAATCAAATAAAACAGTGTAAAATCATCTCCTTCCTCTGTAAAGAATGTAGATATGCTGTAAAATAAATTGTAAATATTTTATCTGTATTTTTGTATTAGTATGTTTGCAGTGTTGGGGAGTAACAGATTACATGTACTAGAGTTATGTAATCAGAGTACAAATTATGAGTAACTGTATTCAGTTACAGTTACTGTTTCAGTGAGTGGTAATTGGATTACAGTTACTTTGTTGAAATAAATGGATTACACAGAGGGATTTTCCTGTTTTCACATTTGGGCCTATATCCCCCCTTTTGTTTTTTGTTTTTCTCAGTAATTCCACTCATTGTCGGATATTAAACCAGGTCTAAACCCAGGTCTACATCCAGTTCTAAACCGTCTAAACCAGGATTAAACCAGGACTAAACCAGGTCTACAACAGGTCTAAAACAGGATTTAACAGGACTAAACCAGGACTAAACCAAGACTAAACCAGTTCTAAACCCAGGTCTAAACCTAGTTCTAAACCATGTCTAAACCAGGACTAAACCAGGTCTAAAACAGGATTTAACAGGACTAATGCAGGACTAAACCAAGACTAAACCAGTTCTAAACCCAGGTCTAAACCCAGTTTTAAAACAGGACTAAAAAACAGGATTTAACAGGACTAAACCATGCTGCGCGGACCATGTCTCCTCTTCTTCTATCAATAATATTTTTAATCCGGTTGAGTAAAGACTCTGCCCTTTCATTTTCTTTTATCAGACAAAACATCTTATTTTACGGTATCCTAGTCTTTGCTTCTCTACAGCAAATCAAGTAATCCAAAGTATTCAGATTACGTTACTCACTTTAAGTAATTTAATGGATTACATTACAAACTACATTTTTGGGTATGTAATCTGTAATCTGTAGGGGATTACATTTGAAAAGTAACCTTCCCAACACTGTGTGTTTGTGATTTGGTGCAACAGCAGCAGTTCTAGATGTGAGCAGAACGAGGAGACAGATAAAAGCACAGAGCTGTTTGGTTTAAATGGTGTTATTCTACAGTCTCTGGCGCCATCTGGTGGAGAGAGTCAAACCCGAGGACTCAAAAGCTCCACAATATTAATCCTGTAGAAACCAACACGGCCTGAATAAGAGTAAAAAAAAGTGTTTGAGGTAAAAACAAGAAAGGAATTAATATATTTAAAATAAATAAAGGAATTAATACATTTAAAATAAATAAAAATTAATAAATTTAAACAATACATTTTCTGGATTCATAAACTAAGAGCACGTGAACATCCGGGTTTGAATGAAGACTGTCTTGTTTTTTTATAAATGTTATATGTACGACCACTGTAGGCTGATAAGCTCTCTTTTTTTTTTATATATATATTTTTATAAAGGCAAGGATGATAATAATAATAAAAATCTAATAGTGATGGTGGTAATAATAATAATAATAATAATACTGTTGTTGTTGTTGTTATTGTTTTTATTTGTTTTATGTGTTTATGTTTTTCATTATTAGTGTGCACGCCCATGCACATGTATACGTGTGCTGTATGGGGTGTTTTTTTTGTTTGTTTGTTTTTTTGTTTTGTTTTTTGCCTGTGCCATGTCCTGCCCTGATCTTGCACCTGTTTTGTTTGCCTCTAATCAACTATCAACTATACTTTGTACTATTAGTTGGTGTGTTTTACTTAAAGGCCGCACCCATGTCCTGTTTTTAATTAAGCCCTGATGAAGACCAGGGTCAAAACATGTTGGTCATTTAAATAAAGGCCTTTTAACTATATTTTTCCTCATGCGATTTTTACTTCTTTGGAGTGCCTGGAGTCCGTTGTGTTTTAGTTAAAGGAATTAATAGTTTGCAGCTGATGTCATCAACATTACTGGGGATGTGATGCTAGTTGGAGGCACTGCTCTGTCTTGATAGGCACATAATCTGATTAGGAAGAGCTCACGTCTTAGTAGGAACTTCGGGTGAGCTGAGCTGTGCTGTTTATCAGTGAATCACTCTCACCTTTTTGTTGAAAATTAAACTCCTAAACAGGACCGTCCCTGTCTCCATTTCTGTTCTGTGCAACGTTTTATGGACTTTTAATAATAATGCATCAGTTTTATACAGCGCTTTTCTCAAGACGCCCAAAGATATTTTACAAATCATTATTCATTCACTCCAAACTCAGAGGTGATAAACTAATATTATAGCCACAGCTGCCCTGGGACACACTGACAGATCTGAGGCTGCCAATCTGCACCTCCACCATCACTCACACACACACCACTTTCACACTAGGCAATGTGGGTGAAGTGTCTAGCCTAAGGACACAATGACAGTTTTTGTGATGGCGCCCGACTGTGGCTCCTGATTTTCCCAGCGTCTCCATCCTGTCCTGACCAGGTCCGACCCTGCTGAGCTTCTGAGATCTGAAAGGATCAGGCTTTGACAGTCGCTATGGCAACAGTCCTAAATACTTCTTCTGAGTTCATGAAAAGGTGAGACATGTAAGTTTATAAGAACAACTCAACAGAAGCATTTCATGACAATAAAATGTGTTTATCAAA